TTGCAGGGATCTCTTTACACCCAAGTGTTTTTGGAAAGGGTTAAAGTGTTATTTAAACCCGGGACCCTGCTTTTCATTTTCTGGTCCCCCCTTTAGCCCGAATTCACTATTCCGCTCTCCCCTGTACCCCGCTTAACTTATCCGGCTTCCCCCCCGGACCCTGCATTCACTTAAAACCGCTCCCCCCCGGCCCCCGGGCTTTCCCAAAAATTATCCGCTCCCCCGGGAAGGGGGCTTTCCTATATAAAATTTTCCCGGGCCCCGGGCAATTTCACTAAATCTGCACTCCCCGGCCCCCCCACCCCATTGGGCCCAATATTTTCCGCCCCCCCCCGGACCCCGAAACCCACTAAAATCCGCACCCCCCGGACCCGAATTCACAAATTACCCGCACTCCCCGGCCCCCGCATTCACTATTTCCCTCCCCCCGGAAACCCCGCATTCATTTTTTAAAATCCGCTCCCCCCGGGAAACCCGCTTTAAATTTTTTCGCCTCCCCCGGACCCCCGGCATTCCACAATTTCCGCACTCCCCGGACCCGCATTCACTATATCCGCACTCCCCCGGACCCCGCATTCACTATATCCGCTTCTCCCCGAGGACCTGCATTCACTATATCCGCTCTCCCGGACCCCCGGCATTCTACATATCACTATACTCCGCCTTCCCACACCCCCCCCCCCCCCTCTCACGGGACCTCCGCATTCAACTCTATATCCGCTCTCCCTCCCGGACCACTTGCATTCACTATATCCGCTCTCCACGGACCACTGTCTATTCACTATATATCCACTCTCCCTGGGACCCCGCATTCACTATATCTGCACTCCCCGGACCCTCGCTAAATTAAAAACAATCACTATATATCACTGCACCTCCCGGACCCCCCGCATCTCACTATATGCCGCACTCCCCGGACCCCCCGCATTCACTCATATCCGCACTCCCCCGGACCCCGCATTCACTATATCCGCTCTCCCCGGAACCCCGCATTCACTATCCGCTCTCCCCGGACCCCTCAATTCACTTATATCTACCGCTCTCCCCCGGACCTGCATTCACTATATCCCCGCTCTCCCCGGACCCTGCATTCACTATATCCACTCTCTCCCGGACCCCGCATTCACTATATTCTGCACTCCCCCTGACCCCGCATTCACTATATCCGCTCTCCCCGACCCTCTGCATTTCACTATATCCCATGGTCTCCCCGGACCCTCTCGCATTCGCAAACTATATTTCCGCTCTCCCTCGGACCCGCATTGCACTATATCCGCTCTCCCCGGACCCCGCATTCACTATATCCGCTCTCCCCCGGACTCCCGCATTCTACTATATCCGCTCTCGCCCGGACCCTGCATTCACTAATTTATAATCCTTACTCTCCCTGGACCCCGCATTACACTATATCTAGCACTCCTCTCGTTATATTTTTACCCGCATTCTCATTATATTTAACGCACTCCCCGGGACCCCCGACCCGCATTCACTTCATATCCGCACTCCCCACGGACCCCGCAAATTACACTATATCCGCACTCCATATGGACCTGCATTCACTATATCCGCTCTCTCCCGGACCCCGCATTCACTATATCCGCTCTCACCCCACGGACACTATATCCGCAATTACACTATATCCGCTTTTCCCCGGACACCGCATTCAATGATATATCCGCTCTCCCCGCGGACCCTGCATTCACTATATCCGCTCCTCCTGGGGACCCTGCCATTCACTATATCGCTCTCCCCGGACCCCGCATTCATTATATCTATCCGCTCTCCTGGACCCTGCTATTCAACTATATCCGGTCCTCCCAGACCCCGCATTCACTATATCCGCTCTCACTGGACCCCGCATTCACTCTTATCCGTTCTCCCTCGGGACCCCAGCATTCACTCTATATCCGCTCTCCCTGGACCCCGCATTCACTATATCCGCTCTCCCCGGACCCCGCAATCCCGACTCTATATACCGCTCTCCCCGGAGACCCCTCATTCACTCTATCCGTTCTCCTCGGACCCCGCATTCACTCTATCCTCGCTCTCCCGGACCCCGCATTCACTATATCCGCTCTCCCCAGACCCTGCATTCACTATATCTGGTCTCCACAGTACACACACAGGCATGGAAATGCAATTATTTTAGTAAATATAAACTGGATATCTAAACCATTCCATTGGAGCTCCTGGCTGGATTCTTGTTTCGGGTCGTTTTGTCCTGCTGGAAGGGGAAACCTACCGAACCGTTCTCAAGTCTTCTGCAGACTCTAACATGTTTTCTTCTAAGATTGCCCTGTATTTGGCTCCATCCATCTTCCCATCAACTCTGGACCAGCTTCCCTGTCCCTGCTGAAGGAAAAAGCATCCCCAAATCATGATGCTGCCACCACCATGTTTCACAGTGGGGTATTGATGTGTTCAGGGTGATGTGCAGTGATACTTTTCTGCCACACGTAATCATTTTGCGCTTTTAAGCCAAAAAGTTCAATAAAAAATTGGTCTCATCTGACCAGAGCTCCTTCTTCCACATGTTTGCTGTGTCCCCCAACACATGGCTTCTAACTGCAAATGGGACTTCTTATGACTTTCACCATCATGCCTATGGAGGAGTCACCTGAATTATTCGATCATAGTGTCAGTTTACATGCTGCTGGAGGATGAACACACAATTTGAATGCTCCAATGTTTGGCATGAGCCTAAAGAGAGGGGCCAGGTGCCAGCGATGGCCAAGAAATTGGCAGTCCTGTTCCCCCAGCTGCAGCACACTGCCAATTTAGGCTCCAGTGATGAGGAGGAAGGGGAGGATGAGGTCACTTGACTGTTACTTGGGTGCCCTTTTGCCGAAAGAAACAGAGGGAGGAAAGTGAGGAGGAGGAGGCACAACTCCAACGAGGCAGGATGTCCTCCCATTGACAGACGTAAGGTCAGCCATCCTATTGCATCCCGACGACAGGGCTACATGGGTGAAGGGGCGCTGCTGAATCCACGCTGACCTCCTAAAGTTCATTGGTGTGGGGCTTTTTCTCAACACATGTGCAAACAGACCACCAGCTTGCTGTTTGCAGTCTCTGACTGAAGCGGATCAAATTTGCGTCAAAACACCAGCCGCGCTTGGGCACCAGATGTTTGGCATGACATTAACTGACCTGCCCATGCAGCCCGTTGGCAAACAGCCACCCTTAAAGAGACCCACATCTTAAGAAGTGCAGACTTCTCCTTGTCTCCTCATCTGGGATCTCTACCCTACTATACCTCAAGTCTTCTCAACGCCTCCACTGAGAGGGATGATGGTGTATAACAAATGGGTGCCAAGGTCCTGGCACCCCATCTGCTTGCATTACACCACCTGTTGATTTTCACCAGGCAAATTTTGCTACCCAGTTATGAAACATAAAAAAAAATACTGCCCCCACCCATCCACATGCTCAGCATCTAAATGCTAACACTGGCCAAATTGCTTGTGTTACAACTGTACCTTGCAATCTGGTGGACTCTGCCCCTTCCATGAATTTGCAGAACTTGCTGTGTTCCACAGTGGCAGGTTCCAAAAAGACAATATCTTTTCACTTAAGGCCATTCCAGCTCTGTACCATCATGTGAAAGGCAATGTTATTTGGCCTCGTTGGACAGGGTGGCCCAGCAGCAAGGTCCACATTACTGCTGACATGTGGTCGCAGCAGGCCAGTGGTCAGGGACATTACATTTCCTTCCTGGAGCACTGGGTTACTCTGCTGGCAGTCTGGGAAGGAGATGCAGGTACAGGGTCAGTGCTGGAGCTTGTTCTGCCACCACACCACTCCGAAAAAACATGGTGGTGACATTCTGCCACATCTGTCTGCACCACCCCTCGCACTTCCTATATGACTCTTTGTGCTGAATTGTCTAATGAAGCAAGCAGTGCTCCCTAATGTGTTCCAGGGGCAAACGCAAGCAGTCAGACTAAGAGATGCCATGCGGTGCTTCAGCTGTGTCTAATGGACAGGAGCCACACCGAGGCATAGATCCTGTCAGCTCTGCAGGGACAGGCTCGAGAGGTGGTTGACAGCAATGGCATCTTGAGCCAAGAAAGGTTGTATGCAACAATGGCACCAACCTTCTCTCTGCCCTTCAACAGTGGTCACTTAACACATGTTCTCATGCTTGGCACACGTCCTGAATTTGGTGGTGCAACGTTTCTTCTTGAACAGGTACCCAGGGCTTACAAGATCCTTCTGAGGCAGGCCAGAAAAGTCTGTGGCCATTTCTGGTGGTTTGTAACAATACCAGTGTTTGGCTCTGACTGACATACAACCGGAATTCAAACCATCCCCACCAACCGCCTCATTTGTGACATGCCCACCAGTGTGGAACTCAACATTGGCTCAATGCTGCAGCAACTGCACATGCAGCAGAGGGCCAACAATGAGTATCTGTGTGAGTATGGCACAAGAACATTCTCAGTTGCTGATGATAAAGGATGCATGCACTATCCTGCCACCATTTGAGGAGGCCACAAGGATGGTGAGCCGCGACAATGCATGCATTGGTGACACTATCCCTCTAGTCTTCCTGCTGGAGCACATGCTGCATGAAATTATGAACAGAGAATTGGAGGCAGAACAGGAGGAGGAGGAGGTCTTCCTTTCCTCTCAAGGCCCCTGTTATGCAGATACCATTCCTACAGGGCCACAGAATGCGCAGGAGGAAGAGGAGGAGGATTGTGGCAGCATGGAAGTAGAGGATAACATACAGCAGCCCTCAAGGGATGGAGACTTTTCCAACTGAGGATCCACTGGGTTGCTGGGTCTTGAGGATGGATCGCTGGCCAGAACTTGCTCATTATGCAATCAAGCTACTGGCCCTTTCCTGCATCCAGCGTGCTTTCCAAATTGACATTCAGTGCTGCTGGAGGTTTTGTGACAGATAAAAGAGTGTGTCTGTCCATAGACTCCATGGGATGGGCATCAACATGAATCAGCCCTAGACAGGGGCGGACTGTCCATTTAAGCACTCGGGCACTTCCTCAGGGCCAGGGTCAGTAAAGGGCCCCATGAGATGCCCCTGTTACCTTTAATAGGCTTTTTTGGGTGTAGTTTGAGTGTGGGTGAGGACACAGGGGCCCATGATTTCCTATTGCCCGGGGGCCCCATGAGTTGTCAGTCCGCCCCTGGCCCTGGATCAACATCAGCTATCAAGTCCCCGATTTTGATTTAACTGATTAAATTTGTTAGGGATCCCTTGAAGACTGCCTGTGCTGCCTATCCTATTCCTCAATCCTGATTATGCTAGATTCCAACAATATTTTTGGTTTAGTCCACCACCAACACCTGAGGCCCAGTGTTTCCACTCCTGTTTGACAGGTGCATGTAATTTCAATTTTTACAATTTTTTTCTAATTTTGAACAATTTTGAACAGCAAAACCCATTCCAGCAAGAGTAACTGTGAGGGGTTACAGTGTGTAGGCACCACCAATACCCAAGGCCCAATTTTTCTGCACCTGTTTTGCTTGGTGTCTAGTAAAGGTTACTTTGTGTTAAGGAAACTTAGACCTCTGTAGTGTATTACTAAATGAAAATGCTGTACATAGAAAACTATTACAATTATAGGATAAACAGTACAAAACTGGCAGATTTACAAACAATAATCAAATTGCTACCTACTTCCTAGCAAGTAAGTAAGTCTGTTTACAATGGAAATATGCTAACAGGTTACTTAACTCAGGTTTTAGTCTTCACAATCTCCATAGACAACACAGACCCCAGGCTTGCTCTAAAACACTTGCAGGAGATTGTGCTAAAAGCATCTTCAGGTTGGGGCTGCTCAGCTAAAATGATTGCAAATGCTTTAAAATGGCAACCAAAACCTGAAAGACGCTGAAGAAAGCAAAAAACTACCATTGGAATGGATAGAAGAATAGCCAAAATGGCGCGGACTCAGCCAACAATCAGCTCCAGGAAGATGAAAGAAGGTGTGACGGTCCCTGTGAGGACTGTTACAATTAGAAGACGCCTATGTGAAGCCAAGCTATCTGCAAGAAGCCCCCGCAAAGTCCCACTGTTGGGAAAAAGACGTGTGCTGAAGAGGTTACAATCTGCCAAAGAGCACATTGACCGGCCTAAAGAGAAATGACGCAACATTTTGTGGACTGATGAAAGTAAGATTGTTCTTTTTGGGTCTAGTGGGCGGAGACAGTTTATCAGACGACCCCCAAACACTGAATTCAAGCCACAGTACACTGTGAAGACAGTGAAGCATGGTGGTGCAAGCATCATGATATGGGGATGTTTCTCATACTACGGTGTTGGGCCTATTTATCGCATACCAGGGATCAGGGATCAGTTTGAATCCATCAGAATACTTGAAGAGGTCATGCTGCCTTATGCTGAAGAGGAAATGCCCTTGAAATGGGTGTTCCAACAAGACAACGACCCCAAACACACCAGTAAACGTGCAACATCTTGGTTCCAAACCAACAAGATGGACGTTATGGAGTGGCCAGCCCAATCCCCCCGGATCTTCATCCAATAGAAAAACTTGTGGGGTGACATCCAAAATGCCGTTTCTGAGGCAAAACCAAGAAATAGAGAAGAACTGTGGAATGTGGTCCAATCATCCTGGGCTGGAATACCTGTTCAAAGGTGCCAGAAGTTGGGTGACTCCATGCAACACAGATGTACAGCAGTTCTCAGAAACAGTGCGACTACAACCAAATATTCATGAAGTCATTCAAAGGAAAGCAAAATCTTCAAACATTTCTCAGTTTATATAGTGAATGTTTAAGTTTGTAAAGAAGAATACAAACACTGCGATTTTTTTTTGAACCGTCTAATATTCACTTTTCTTCCATTTTTTTAGAGGAACAACACAAATTTGATATATTTTTCTTCATGTTGTGATTTGGAATAGAATGTGTCGTGTTCCCAATGCATTTGTGTGGATGGAAATAAAAGCTATTAGAAGGATTTTGAGCTTTAGTCACTTTTTTCAACACACTGCTATTATTTTGAACACAACTGTACATGCCATGGGTCATATATTTTAGAAGGTCAAGCTATTATTAACCATGGTTACAAAACAATAGCCAACTGTCAACTGAAATACAGCAATGGTATCTATGTTACCATTGT